TAAAATAGTCATATGTCACTCAAAAATAGGGATATATATGTTCTGAGAAATGCCTTGATGGATTTTTATCATTGTACAAACATCACTACATGTACTTACACAACTAAGCTACATCATCAATTGGGCAATAATATATTTATGGACCACCATAATATACAGCCAAAAATTTATTATGCAGTGCATGACTGTATGTGCTTATGTGACATATCTACCATATTTATGAAACAGTATTGTGTGGCATAACATGCTTTCCTATATCTTTCTACATTTTAATGTTTCTGAAATGAGAATGTCTAATAATTAATAAGTATACTTAATGTAGTATCATTTCTTTTTCCTTTCTCTTGGAAGGCTACAATGTATCACATGATACATGATGTCAGAGAATCCTGGAAATTCATTATGAAGGAACAATTCTAGCAATAACAAAAATAATACTAACAATTACTTTTCTAACTAACAAGTTCAATTTTGATTTTCTATTATAATATAAAATAGCAACAGCTAAACAGTCCCAAATTACATAGGATACATAAATGATTTGAATATATATTTACCAAAAACATCATATTTTCTTCAGAATTATCAAGTGCTTTTTCCTGAACTAATATCAAAACCAACCTTATTTATGAAGATGTACCAGCTATTACAGGCAAATCCTAATGCCTCATCAATGAGATAAGAACAATTAACTGAAAATATCATTGGTATGTTCTTTTAACATTCATTAATATATCTATATTTTTTCTTCATATACTTCTCACCTGGCATTATTTTAAATGATGGCAAGATATATTCCTTCCTCAACCATGTTTCTCTTTGTCAAACTCTGTAATTCTGCTTACATGAAATAATGTCCCCATGTCTATAAGATTTAATTTTGCCTTTCCCACTTTTTAAGACTGTTCTATCATTTGACCAACATATATCTCACCCTGAACACCTCTGACCTTCCTTAAACTATTAAAGATCAATGCACTAAATGTATTTTTTAAACACAACCTTGTTCTCTACCCACTGTACTAAACTGAACATATTTTTTAAATGTATAGCTTCTATGAAATAAATCCAACAAGATATTTCTAAGTTTCTCATTAAAAGTTAATTATAGAATACTACACTAAAAATGGTAATTTTAATTAAAATCAATGACAGCATGATGGTAAAAACATGAATAGAAAATAGAGGCAATTTCCCTAAAGATTTACCAATTGACACCAGTCCACTTACTGTAAAGGTTGGACCTAATCAGATTGTTTAGCAGATTGAATTATGATAAATCTACATGATGAATATGACTTGCTTCAGAGTCAAATATGCATTACTTACATTAGAGTTTATCTCTTGGACTCCTACAAACTCAAAAGGTTTATAATATTGAAAAGATTATGGGATATTATCTAAAATACTAAGCCCTTTGGTGTTTTTGATTTTCTGTAAGATATACTTTTGGACCCAAAGAACTGAAATTTTTCTTTAGGCAAAATATCAGCTTTGATACAGAATTAAAATAGTTCTATAATTAAATTTAATTCTAAGATAGTAATATAAAGTTTAGATGTTTATATTAGTAAGAGAATATGCTTTTTTCAAAAAGAATTGACTGGTTCTGACTCTAAACCACATCATCAGCTGTAAAGTTCTCTTAGTTTGATTTCTTGAAAAGCTATAAACTATATCAATATTTAAATGGCTCAAAAAGAAAAATTATATTCTCATATGGAAGGAGAAGGAGGAAATGTTATAGAAGCTGTTAATCTCCAAAGAAATCTGCTCTTGAATTGCCAAATTTTGGAACAGTTCTAGAATTATAAATAAAAATGCTAACAATTACATTTTTTAGAACTTTAGAAAACACTAAGTATATTCCACTCATATCTATATATGCAGTTTAAGTCTACTTTTTAAAAGATTTATCAAATTAGTCATATATAGTTATTACTTAACAAATATTTGCTTAATCATAAAATTAATGCCTGTATAATCTCCCTGATATGAAAATTGTCCAAAATATATAATTTAATTCTCATTTGAAAGTTAGTCACAAAAGAAAAGTCATTCATAATTTATGGTATTTCTATGGTTTTAATTAATTCATTTTAGTTAACACATTTTTATATCTGCATTTCCATGGAAATTACAAGTTATTACATATGTATTGCAGAATATATCTTTGTAACTGAATTGATATTAAACCTATTTAATCTAGAACACTTCTAAAAACTTCACTGAGCTGCCATAATTTTTGTCAGCATATGTAGTACTGAATGACCATTAAAATACCTGAATTGAAACTATTCCAGTCTAGTAGTTTGTAAGATCTTGTGTTACCCATAATTCCGACAAAGGCTGAGTTCAAAACAGCAAATTAGTAGATCAGTTTTAGGTGGAGAATAGTAGGATAAAACAAAAAAAAAAACTATAAACAAAAACACAATTGACAATACCACTCGACAGGAACTGGAAAGACAGACAGCAGAGTTAATAAGAAGTAGAAATAGAAAGGAAAGAAGAAGCATGATATAGTAAACTAACATTAACTAGTCTAATTGTTTAAGTTAATTACCTTGATTTTTTTTAAACCACCCCATTCTTCACCTTTATGCTCCTGTTTACTTAATAGTTAGCAAAGGAGAAAGTTCAAAAACAGAAAATCGCCAAATAATCCAAAGAGTTTGGTAGGTGGTAGTGCTTCTAAAATATTATTTTTTTCCTTGTATACTGAGAATGAAATAAAAATTTCCAATATTCACTAGTCAAAAAATAGCTAAAAGATTAACTTGAGGGTGAAAACAGTATTTTCAACATTGACACATATATATCACTACCCAAGTTTCTATTAGCAGAATGACTTAGTGTTACAAAATTACTACATCGTCATTATAGTAGATGCTAATCCAGAGTTTAATTTTCTCAACAAATTAACATTTTTTCATAAAAAAATATTTAAGCAGTTTAGAGATTAACAAATGATCTTAAGTAAATGTTCCTTTTTAGTGTATAATACATACATAAAACAATCCAATGAATGATATTTTAAATCAAAGTAAGATACTATTGAAATCATTAGAATATATAATTGACATGTATTTAACTAAAAGGAAAAAATATGAAAATGTAACTCATACACCATTGAAAGCATTTATATGTATATGCCCATAGTCTTTTGGGAATAGTCCATTAATAACTGAAGAATTTCTATACCTGAACTGAAAAACTATTCTGAAAGTGGGGAGAAAGGAGGAAACTGGTGACTGCTAATTACGACACAAAAAAACATTCTGTAACAGGATTCTCATGTTCTTCACTGGACCTAGATTCTTACAGTTGTAACAAAGCTATAATAAATTGCCAGGTCTGATAACCCCCCTCAAAAAAACAGTCTTTTGTTTAAAAATAAATAAATAAATAAGTGGCATTTAAAACACACCTCTACATGTAAGTTTATTTAAGTAAACTTTGTTCTCCCAGACTCTACCATTTATTCAGAGTACATGGAAGCAACAAAATAAAATAAAAATGTTTTCATTTTAGAAGATATTAACAATGACTGAAAATAACCTTAAAGCTGTTTTTGGAATCTCATTAGTAGATACCATCTATTAAAATACTGGAGTCAAAAATCCATAGAAATATAGGTGACTAGCATTGTGTCACCCAATTAATGTCACGTACCTTAACTAGTATTTCCTTAAACTTTCCAAAAAATTCAAAGTCCTAAACACAAAGATATAGAACTTGACAGTCCCCAATATCTTACTACCATAAAGTAGCATTAGTCTTAATTTTTCTCTAAGAAACAAAGAATACACAAATACTACAAAGAAGAAAAGTTCTTAAATTAACCAAAAAAAAAAAAAAGAAATGGGGAAAAAATAAACCAAAGAAGAAAAAGAAAATACTGGTGCTTAAAGCCGTATTTGCTAAGCTTCTGAATTAAGTAGACCCAGCTAGCACTTCTTCTCTGAATAGTATTCAGGGTCCTGAATAATTGCATCCTCTCTGAAATTAACTCACACAAAATGAAAGCACGCAACATGGATTAAATATTGAAAAAGCTGAAAGAATGGTAATGCTATAAATCCTCAAAATCATTATCTGCAATGTTTTCCACCCAATAATTTTAAAGGATTCTACTTTTTTTTCATAGTTCTCAGTATAAGCATCACAAAGATATTACTTCCCAGAGTGACAAATTAAAACTTTCAAAAATATGTATGTACAGATGCCAAATAAGAATACTAATATAACTTCAGGTTTAAAATATGTCATCAAAATTAGTGACTTGAGCAAATGATTGAGCATCTAGATAATGAGAGATGCAAAAATACATTCCATATGTAAGTTCCTACCATTTCTCATGCTTATTTTAGATTTAGAAAAATGACCAGAGTACTTCTAATCTAAGAGCCTGAAATTACTGGGGCTTTGATGACTATCTTCTTTAATAATTATGGTCCCATGTTTTAAAGTGAGCTACTATTCTCATTTGTTCATTTACATAGAACAAATAGTTATAAAAAAGAAACCAAAAAACCAAATATTAGTTTGTTCTTGTTCTTTTTAATTTTTGGATACTGTACACAATATTCACAATTTAAAAGGATACCTCTTTTTAGAAACAAAGAAATTAATGATAAAAACATATTGCTAGTAAAAAGAATTAACATCTTAAATTAATGACCATAATGGTCAAATTGTAAAAATTTTCTATCTTCCCCTATCAAAGAAAATTGCTGATTCAAAAATCATTTAGGAATTTCCTTAGCCAAAAATAAATCAAGATGTGCTTGTTTTACATAGAAAAGTAACTAACATATACTTTTACTGAGTTTGATCATTTTTTAATGAAGATTACTACAAATATTTTAAAGTAACATGTGCCAGTTTATACTTTCTTTTCATTTTTTCTTTTCAGATAGATTTGGTCCATAAAACATAAAAATCAGTTTTAATAAACAGAATTTAAATAAAGGAAAGCAGTAAAAGCAAGAACATACCAGGATTGTGGATACGATCCAAAAGTTTCACAGAACGTGCACTAACAACACCTCCAACATGCACAAGGAATCCAGGAGGAAATGCAGTCAGGGTAAAAAATGGAAATTCCTAGTAGAAAGAAAGGGAAAAAATATAACTGTCCACGTGTGAAGTATAAAAAATTTGTTTATTAAATACATTCTATACATTAAAATAAAAAGCTATCCATTATACATTACAAATATTTTGTAATTAAAATTTTCCACATATACAATATTAGGCAGACTCCAAAGACCCTTTTTTATCAAATCTCATTGTGAAAAAAATGTTTTTAAGAGTTCAAACATGAGACATCAGGAAAGCACATTTCCTACTCTAGTACAATTTTACAATGAGATGAGAGAATAAGCCAACCCCTCTATTCCATTATCTATTTACTGCCCTCTCAAGCACATCCACAATATAAGATACTGGTAAGGATTCCAAAGGCTTGGGGAAAGAGACCTGAAAGAAAGTGGGATGAATGGAGGGGGAGTAAGAGGATGAGCAGTGTGGATTAAGGGGAATGAGAAAGGAAAAAAACAAATTCCAAGTCAAGGTGTGCAAAGCATCACAGTGTGGAAATATTTACTATCCTCACTCTGTCAGCAGCAGTAACAACTGCAAGTACTTAAACATATATTAAGAAAAGAGGAGGACTGACATTGTGGCTCAGTGGTGGAATACTTGCCTGGAACGTGTGAGGTCCTGGGTCTGATCCCTAGCACCATAAGCGGGGGTAGGGGGAAGGGCAAAAAGCAGAGGTATGGAGAATATGTGGTAAAAATATGTAGTAAGAGTTAAGGAGGCAATACCATTCCACAAGGTCTTCCAAACTTTATTCTCCCCTTTTCTCTTAAGGACAGAAAACCTCTCAACTTGAGAGACAAGGAGAAAAACTCAAAAGAGAAATGAAAAAGTAGGGAAAGGACATTTATAGGCATGTACACAGAGCGGGTGCAGTGTACATGCCTATAATCCCAGCAACTCTGGAGGCTGAGAAAGGATTGCAAATTAGAGGCCAGTCTGGGCAACATAGTGAGATTCTCAGCTATTTAGAGAAACCCTATCTCAAAACAAAAAATAAAAAGGACTGGGGATGTAGCTCAGTGATAAGGTACCCCTGGGTTTAATCCCCAGTACCAAAGAAAGAAAAGAAAAGAAATTACACCCAGGAATTAGTTGGCTGCTCAAGCATACAGGCCCCCTTCACATTATACAAAATGGAAGCAAGTAATGGGAATTTGTTATCTGACCTGTCTGGCTAGAAAATAGATGAATGTAGCTCCCTCAACCAAAAGTCATTTACCAGTAGCCTCAACTATTTTTGAATGTAACAGATCTGGAAATATGCAAAACAAAGCTCTTAATAGTCAAAAGAACTATCAGAGCTACAAGTATTAAAGTTCATGCAGTTTTATTCATAGGGGATCTCTCCACAGATGGTATTCACTGTTATATATAGTAGTTACATAGTTATATATGTTAGGAATGTATAATTCTAAAATTTATATTATTTTCTAGACCATGGCAGATTAAATACAAAAAATAAAACAGAAGGGACAGAAAAAGATACAAAATACTGCTACAAGCAGGCACATAAAATAGCAGCAAGATTTCTGACTGGCTGCTTAAAGCATAGAGAATACAAACTCACATAAGCATAATTCACAAAACATAGCAATCCGGAAACATTTAACATAAAGGCAGACAGTCCTGCACACATCAGTAATCCATAAAAGTAAAGTATAAAAAATGTATGTGTGTGTATATTTAAAAAAAAGTTGGTCAAAATTTAGAGGAAATTATTAATATACGAACAACAAGTAATACATTCCACTATTGTCATGTATGTAAGAAATAAATTAAAAAAAAAAAAAAAAAGAAGAAGAAGAGGAGCAAGAAAAGACAACCTTATGTAAGAAAAGAGTAAAAAACAAGGTTATGGAATTGCTTAGGTTTGGTCCAAATAACAGACAGAGGGAAAGAAGGGAAGAGGATAGAGGGGGCATATATCACTTAAATATATCATAAACTATTTAGTTGGAATACACATCATCATCATCATCATCAATTTTTTAAAATTTATATATATATTAGTTGTCGGTGGACACCCAATACCTTTATTTTATTTTTATGTGGTGCTGAGGATCAAACCCAGTGCCTCATAAATGTTAGGCGAGCACTCCACCACTGAGCCACAACCCTAGCCCAATGAGCTATGATGCCAGCTCATTAATGTAAGTTTTAAATGACATGTATAGGTGAGCTTATGTTATTAAAAATGTTAGTATTTTCCATAATAAGTTGGGTCTTTAGGTTTGTCCCTTCTCTGTGCACCACCCCCTCCCCCAATTAGGAAAATTGAGATTCTAAAAGTACCTCAAAATACATGAGGTATGTGATGGTCCCAAAGAACAAAAAAAAATACTTTACACTTAATCTTTATACTTAAGTCTTTTACATATCTAAATGACAGACACTGAAAATATTTTTTTTGAAACTAAATGGAAAACTGCTTTCTTCTAAAGCTAAAAAGTAAATTAGGTAAATTTACACACATTGGAAAACATATGCATATAATATTTTAGATAAGTACTAAAAGTATGAACTTAAATGATTTCTCTATTCAGGACTTTTTAGTCTTCTCCCCAAATTTTGGGAGATTAGATAAAGGAATGAGAGGGAAAGCAACACTCTAGAGCAGAAGGATAGTAGTAGTGGCTGCCCTCCGAAACATGAAGGCTCACTGCCAACTTAAGCTCTAAGGTGTCAGTCAATTAGCAAACCAATTCACCTTAAAATACAGAACTTAACCTATTGGAAGCAAAAATGTCACTGTTGAAGCTGGAGTTGTGGCTAACAGGTAGAGCACTTGCCTAGCACGTATGAGGCACTGAGTTCAATCCTCGGCACCACACAAAAATAAACAAAATAAAGGTATTGTGTCCATCTACAACTAAAAAAAAAAAAAAAAAATCTAAAGTCAGTTAATCAAAAGTCCATCTTCAGACTATTCTCTAATTAGAAGAGTTACTCTAAGTACCTATCATCTCCATTACATCAGCACAGACTGCTGTTGCACATTTACACTTGCTCTGTGGGAAGGATGTCAAAACTATGCTTTATAGTCTCTCCCATTCCCTGAGAGAAGGGTCTATTGTTTCCAGGTTTAGATAAAAAACTGAGGTCATGAGGACCTTTGATTGATATACTGTTTCTGAACAACAAACCTCATCATCTGGTTCCCCTGTTATTTCTGGTTAAAACACTGAGTGAAAGACCTGATTTGAATCTATAGTTTGTTCATTCCACTCAACAAATTTATAGATTTTTTTCTTCCACTGAAAGGACAGTTTCCTTAAATGAGCCAAGCACACCCTGCTTTCAAAGCCTAAATGTGAATTTTAGCAATCATAGAAGATATTTTCTCTAGAAGTCTTTATATTTAAAGGATCTTTCCCTGTGGTCCCGACATGGATTTTACTTGATGCTTTGGCATAAGCCATATGTATGAAGCATAAAAATATTTAACAGTGTATGATTAAAGATAGGCTGGTTGAAAAATCAATAAAACATGATTATTTTCAAAAGATTTAAATGGAATTTTTCAAAAAGATATACAAATAGTTTTTAAAATCATATACTCTTTTTATTACCAAGAGAATTTTTCTAGATATAAAACTCCATGCCAGATTCCTACAATAATTTATTGTACAATTTTAACCTACTTTTAAAAGATTATAAATCAGGGGCTGGGGTTGTGACTCAGTCGTAGAGCACTTGCCTAGAATGGGCAAAGCCCTGGGTTCGATCCTCAGCATCACAAAAAAATAAATAAGTAAAATAAAGGTATTGTATCCAACTACAACTAAAAAATAAATATTAAAAGATTACTAATCACCAGAAGACAGTGTTTTATATCAATGTTTCTCAAAGTATGTTCCTCATAAATAGGTATTTTAGAAGAAGATTCCATGATAAAATATATTTGGGAAATACTGAGTTAAACTAAGTTAACTAGGTTTTTATACTATAGAAAATTATACACCCCAGAACCTAAAAAGTAACTTGTTTTTTTTTCCTCAACTTAAATATAAATAAAACTTTTACTTTAATTTTTCATCTCCCAATAACCTGGCATCTATTGCCAAGATCTCTTAATGTTTGTATAAGAAAACAATATTTTTATTTTTAAATAAATTAACCTATTAAATGAGGTTGGGCAGTGAAGTATCTCTTTAAATAAAATTTGAAAGGGAGATTTAGCGAAGAATAGAAATGAGTATTTTTTAAAAAACAATATTCAAAATGATATAAGACACATCTAAACAAATGGGAAGATTCTTCATACTTCTGTACAAATTTTTCCCAAAACAAAAGCCATTCTAGATATACGAAGCTCTGGGTTTGATCCCCAAAACTGCAAAAGCCAAAAACTATACTAATGGCAGCACAGGTGAAAGGCAAAGTCAACAACCATGAAGTTTTGTTATTTATTATTCATACAGGGCAGAGAAGTAGTCTTGTAAACTTAAGTAACTACCACTGCATAACAAATGATATAGATGTACTACCACAGCAGTTACACACCCAGCTTTTACAAAGTCATAAATGAAAACTAGAGTTCTCAACACCTTTCCTTTTAATTACATGAAGATTGTTCAGTAATGTATGCCCAATGTGTTAATGTGCCAAGATTCTAAGAATGTTTAAAAGCACATTTAAAAAGAGATTCATGCTAATTAAATCCAAAATGATTTTCATTAATTTTTCCCCTTCAAGTGAAACAGTTTTAAAGGTTCTTAAAATGGACAAGGCATATAATACAGACAAAATTCATTATATACAAATTTAAGGCAACCTAAGTTTTTCTGTTGATGTGAATTCTAGAATGGTAATTTGATTACAAGAAATCATATACCAATATGAAGGACTTTGTAGAGAACACAAAAACAGGAAGAGGCAGACATAAGAGTATTCTGGCCTAAAAAATGACCTGCTTCTCTTCCATGTTTTAGTGTTTTGCTGTATTTGGTTTTAACATGTGATTTAAATGTATGGATGAACCTTTTGGTGGTAGCAGGTGGTATGCTTCTGAGATGTGAGAGTGGCTGAAAGGTGCTGCTCAACGGGGTATAAAGCAAAGAACTGGATACAGCTCATCGTATGGGTCTGCTCAATTCAGCTCTGCCGTTCCTGTCCTTGTCTAAAAGGTAAACTGTGCACACATGGATACCTTCAATATGAGGAAAAATAGCCTAGAAAAATAAACTCTCTTATTATTGTAATAAGAGAATCTGAAAAACATTGTTCTCAACAGTCAAAGTGTAGGAAAAAAAAAAAAAACCTTTGTTTTATAAAACGCATCCTTTCACAGGTTATTTACTATGCTTCACCTTTTTTTCTCCCAAATGTTGGCATAAAATATAATAAAGAAAATTCTATACATGTTTATAGCTTCCAAATCAAACATAATAAAAGCTATGAAACTGTGTCTTAAAATAATTGACATAACACATAAAATCATGCACTGTATTAGTAGAAAAAAAAGAACATGAGCCTAATGGAGCTATTAAATTAAAAAAAAAGTTGCATTATGGAAAAGAAAAAAGCTAGCAACATTTGTTAAAAGCTTAAACAAAACTTAAATGACTGAGATTAAAACTGGAAAAGCTTCTAATACAAGAAATAGGCTCTCACACATGTTTGGAAACATACCCGCCTTCTACAGAACCTATGAGGCGATCCTCCCTTAGCAATGAAGTTTATAAAAAAGAGAGAGAGAAAAATCATCCAAAAACTATAACTACTCATTTTCCCACTCAACCAATGCAAGTAAACATTAAACATAACAATCAAAATAGATGTATTATATTAATGAAACACTATATTAATCTGTAAAATTATGTAGAAAATATACATTTCTTATCTCTCAGAGATTGACCATTGATAAAAAATAATTTTGTTAAGTAAAAATATTACTAAAGAATTGTTTTTAATAAATGCTACTGATATATTGTTTCTTCAAAAATGTTATTTCTTTATAATTTTAATGACAAAATTAAAAATGACTTCAGTATTCAATGGATATTTCTTTAAAATATTTCTAATAAATAATTAGAGGAAAACATAAAATAGTTACAGAATTACTCCAAGTCAAAAGTAAATATTCATACACAAGTTGGATTTTAAAACTATAATATTTTCAGATATGACCAAAAACAGTTTGGTTTTGGAAAGTAAATATGTACACAGAAGCATAAGATCATAAGTTCATATTAACAGTGTAAGAATAAGAATATCTGGTAAATCTTACCCTCTGCTCCAATGCTGACTGTGTCTGTTGTCTTAAAAGAGCTTTAAATGGCCCCCCTTCTTTTCCAGCACTACCACTGCCCATTCCTACAGAACATTAGCACATAAATAACAACCAAAAAATCCAACTATAGAAACAGAAAGTATAATTGCATTCAACTTCATAAATCTCATGAGTCAAAATATAAAATGATCCACACATTTAAAGTATTCAAGATGGCAACTAAAGCATATGTTTTACTCTAATAGACTAGCAAAATTTTCTTTGGAAGCAAGATGTCAAAGTTCTGATCATGGTTAGCTTTAGACTCAATGTGTTTTAAGAATTATGAAAAGAAATTATGTTAAAGATGATAAATATTTGTATAAATAAAATAAAAATCATCAAAATGATAATTATTATTATGCTAACAATTTAAGAACACTAAAAAAAAGAGAAATAGTAAGTGTTTGACTAAGAATAAATACAGAAAAGAAAAACGCTGAGATCACTAAAAATATCCCAAAATTCTCTAAAGAACATGAAATCTAGGTAATTTTTAAATTTAGTATATTTATTTTCTGATAACTTCCCATTTCTAAACATAACATCATATAAAATGGTATTATTTTGATATATGTCAACATTCATTCCAAAAAATAAAAAGAAATTTTTTGGAAAAAAAAAAAAAAAAACTCAAAAGTCACAGAAATGTAATAGACACATTACAAATGTACATAATTATGGATGTAAGAATTATATTTCCCAAGCTCGTATCTGTATTTTTTAAAACTTAATTTTAAATTTCTTTTCCTATCTTATTTTATTGTCTTGAAAGAACCACTGGATAAACTATGATCCATGAAAGCAGGAGATGGGTGAGAACCCAGGATTCTACAGATTGGAATTCATCCCACCCATTTCAAACTGAAAATGCATACTTTCAAATTTACTACAAAAACTTAAAAAGGAGCTAATTTAATTTTACATTTTTAGCTGTTCTTGGATAAGGAAACAAAGATTAGCATGTGTATAGTCCCATTCTGTTCTTTAAAGGTAAAAAGTAAATTCAATTTTCTTAGATTAACCTAAACATTTTTAAGAGACTATACAACGCTAAACAGAAATTAAACTAAGATCTTTATATGAAGCATATTAAAAGCCATAAAATAAAATGTAAATTTGTAGTGACAAGGAAAAAATCAAAAAATATAGAATAATTTGATTAATGCAATGATCAGAAAAAAATGGATAATTAAAGAATATCACCAAAATGAGACTTAAACTGATTCAAACAGAATAATTTACTAATGTAACCATATGGTTTAGCAATGAGATGATACAGGTCCAACGTGAACAGAATTGGTATGTAGGGAAGAAAGTAAAGCATCTAAAACAGAAATGCTAGTACTAAGAACTTAAATAATTATTGTGAACAGCCAGATCTATGTCATTAGACATAAACTTTTTTTAATGTATAAAATAATTTACCAAATATTCGTAATTATCCATCAAGTAATGCTCAATTATATCCTATCATAAATCTAATTGTTCAACTCTTTATCAGTAAAAAAAATAATAGAAATACATCCTGTAAAAATATGCAATAATTCTTTATAGTATGAAATAATTAAACTTTTTCAAAGTTTAAAGGGATTAAAAAGCTGACATAATGTGATCCTACCAGAAGCAGCCAGGAACAGCTCTTCACTGAAAGAAACACTTTTCCTCAGAACTGGGCTGACAAGGCTAGAATGATGAGGGGTAAGGCTAGATTCCGAGAGGAGGAGACAGGACTTTTTAAGATGAAGGGAACCACAAGAGAGAGAGGGGGAGCTGGGACACAGGTAAATCCTAGGTCCCTGTGGGTAAGGTGCTGTGGAGGAAAGTAGCAGAGAAAAGATGCAGATTCAGAAGATGATCAGGAAACGCAGGATAAGGAAAGCAATGATGAAGCAGCAAACATAACAGTAAAAATGAATTTTAAAATGTATAGACAAGTTATACTAAGCATATGAAAAGTCACTAGCAAAACTGTCTATCCAATATAATACAAATAAAAGGTATATTCTAAAACTTAAATGAAAACCTTTCAAACTCTACATTCTTTTAAAAAAATTTTAATGACTGAGGATTTAATGCCATTTTAATCATTTTTGTCTTACTTTTAACTGACTTCTTCAAAATACTTAAATTACCTACCCTTTTCTTGTTTATGAATTCAAAGGGTTAAAATGTACCACATTTCAAAGTGTTAAAGCCTGAAACTTGTTGCCTCAACTATAAACACTTATTTAAAGTGGTAAAGTACAGTATTTTTAAATTTTACTAGCTAATATAAAAGATAGCACTGTGGGTATTTGAATTGAATATCTACTTTAAAAAATAAAATCAAATGGCACCATATTAGGTGTAGGCAATTGTCATTATTAATCTAAAATAAATACCAACTTCTGTCCAGCTTTGAGATATATTAATACTTTTCTTTTTTCTCTAAAATTGTTCACACTTTAATCTGATCACAGTACTGTGTGAAGTACGGATATTTGAGCCTCATCAGGGTCCGATAACCTCTGGATCACAGAAACTATACATAGCTAGCGACCTGATTAAAAAAGAAAAATTTAGTTCAAGTCAGGTGTCGAATTAGTATTCTAACACTAGCATTTGAAAATCCCACTCTTATTAGTTGACTACTTGGGGAAAAAAATAAAGCCTCATAAAATGTCATAAGTTAAAATTTACAGAAATAGTTAATTTTTTTAAAAAAAGAGGAGACCTACCAGAAAAAACAAGCAAGAACATTAATTATAAACAACAACAAAAAACAACTTTTTCTATCCAAGCTTTATTACTTTTGTTCTACTTTTGTCTTCCCAGTTAGTAATGATAAATCAATTATAATCAGATTATCTCATTCCAATATTTCTCAAGATACTTATTCTACATATGGATAAATTAGAAGGCAGAAAAGCATGACAAACATGCTGAATTATAGTTCTAGGAATTTTAAAACAATTTTAATTTTACCAAATTACTTCTCTATGAAAAACAGGAATGCTCCTCAGAACTATTCAGATATCTAAGGGCTCATGCTAAGGCCAAGAAACTAAAAACCGCTAATATTTTATAAATAAGCTATTGAGGTAGTAAATATTTATGGGCAAACAAACTGTATTTAGAGCAAGCTTACACACGAAAATTAATACTTCATTTGTAAATAAATTTTTAAGTACTAATAATACAAAAAGGTTGTCATTGCTAATACTGTTAATTGCCTATCAGTTAAGAGAAGCGTGGTTCAACTGATTTATATCTTAACAATCTGCTTTAGTAGGCATAGACTTTAGAAACAAAAAGCCAAGGAAATACTCTCAAAACTTTATGTGATATGGCAAAGGAAAATAATAGATAAGAGTATTGAAAAGTGGCCTGGAATACAAAGTTAGTGAAAAAAAGCTTCAAAAAGTATCCTTTAAATACTATCCTAAGTCTGTCTAATTCTGATTGTCATGAATATGAAGGCCAGACTCTCCTATTCTTTATTTAAAAAACATTTTTTACTGTACTTTGAGTGATTCAATTTTTATAGCATAAATATGGTTAAAATGTCACATTTCAAAGCATCCATTATAGTCAAATACTATCTTATTTTTAGATGTTTTTTCATAATTAAAGTCAGTCATCTCTTAGCTCTGCAACAGACCGATCCAGGATAAGCACCACCACCACACCCAATACCAAAATCCACAAATGCTCCAGTCCCTTACATAAAATGCAATCATATTTGAATATAGCCTGTGTACATACTATGCATTTTAAATCATCTTTGATTACTTTATAATACCTAATGCAATGTAATGTAAATAGCTGTTAGCAATATTGCTTAGAGAAAAATGACAATTTTTAAATCTGTACATGTTTAGCATAGATCCAATTATTTTTCAAATATTTTTAATCTATGGTTGGTTGAATTCAGAGGTGGAACTCAGGAAAATGAAGAGCTTAATGTATATGTAAAAATAAAGTTATTATCAAAAGAAGTAAGTCTATAATTATCTTTATGTTTTAATGACATTTATAAAAAATAGAAATTAAAGCTATGAGCTTTAAAAAAAAAAAAAAAAGTCCTTTCTCTATAAGTAGCACTGGTTTGGAATTAGCTTTCTTTTCATTGTTTTCACAAAATCTGGGATCATTTTATAAATTTCTTTTCTAACACAAAAGTAAGTCTATTAAAGATGGTAAGTTTAAAAGTAATACAAATAAGAACTATACTTAAATCAATCTGATGGGAAAACTGCCAGACAAAAATACTATTTACAAAAATTATAAACTGTTAAATGTTTTAACTTATTTTTAATTTTCCTTAGAAATAACAATAATTTAATGCTTTATATAAGTTAATTCTATTTTAGGGAGTAAGATACTAACTTAATCTGTATGAACTTTTTATCATAAACATATGCATAAAAACCCACAAAGATTACTCATAAAAATACAAATAGGAGAGGGAAAAAATTATAAGTTTAATAATTGAGAAATATTCAAGTATAACTAAAAATAGCATTTTCTAAGCTAGAGAATAAAACTAGCAAACCCAGACATTTTAAATAACAAATTAATAAATAGATGAATAGCTATGTACTCCAAGGTAATCATTTCAGTTCTGAAAATTATTTTTATAATCAAATCTCAGAATTAAATTCAGAGAGGCACAAACAATGAATTTAAAAATGCTAATACTTCAAGGAGTTTGATTGTAAGCCACTAGTGTTACTTTCTATTCAAATGCTTTAAGATGTTATTCCTCCTGAGTATGAAATGAAAAAGTCTACACACAAAAATGAATTTTGGACTTTATGGCTACACTCTGATTAAATTAACAAAATGTTGATCTTTAAACAAGATAATTTCTGAACTAAAAAAAAACCTTAATATTTTAATTGTAATAACTGAAAATAATCAAGTCACATTATTTTTTAACTTAAATGCCAAAAACAGGAGGAAAGATTTGGATGGAAAGCTAGTAAGAAACAGAAACAAATTTTTTTAAGAAAAGAAAAAATAAAAGGTGGGTGGAAGCGCCTTACCAGTTTTGGGTGTCAAACTCAAATCTGTGTCAGAAGAAGAGGACTGTCGACTGTAGGACTTGGAAGGTGAAAAGGAATAAGTTTGGTTTTTCAGAGGGGTTGAGGGTCCTGATGAGTGAGTATTGGGATTGGGATCTTCATTGAAGGGAATCCTGCCAGAAGAAGGTGGAAAAAAATAAGTAATCATGTGCCAAAGGGCTTGACGGTTGGCAGCATGATCCAAACACCAGGAAAGTATTGGGGCAGGGCCAGCAGTCATTTCTTAAATGTGGAGCTGGGAATGAGGTCAAAGACAACCAATTGCTGTTTAACCATTCATCATTCTCCAGATAAATATTATCTGCATTGAAACAGTTAATAAGCCAAGTGATAAAGCAAAAAAAGCATGAAATGACAGACTTAGGGGCTAAAACATATTAAAAGGAGAAATTAAAAAAATGACAAAATATTTTAAAATGATTTTTTAAGTTACAAAAGAAAAAATGATGGCTACAAATGGTGTGTGGAAATATTCATAATTGTTTTCATATTTGCACACACACAGGTATCTTCAAAAGAAAAAAATGTTTCCTTATCCTATAGCATCAAGAGTGCCACAGCTAAAAACACATCAAAGAGGAAAATGAATATAGCTACACAGAAACATCACATTTAATGCAGAATAGTTGCTTACCTGTTTTCCAATAGCTCTCTTCCACAGAATGAAACAGACCCTACCGTTAACAGGTTTAGTACATAAAGAAAACAAGCAAACTAGAAGGTTTGGTATCTATTTCTTTTAGAATCTTATTAACAATTTCATTTCTAAAAAATTATAGAAATAATCACAAAACACATTTTGAGAGATTCTCCTCAAAACTCACAGTACACTTATATAAGATAAGGTTCTGAGAGGATCTGTGGAAGAGACTTTGGAAGCTGGAAGAACACTTTCACTTCCATAATGTGTGAGCCTCTGCGGCAACTAAATACAGAAGTTCTTCACTGCAGCTGGACTTCCAGTAAGAAAATGAAGAAGCAAAGATTTGTGGTACCTGCCTACGCTACCTGCCTGCCTGCCTCTGCAGCCACTCTGCCCGTGGCCTGCCTCTCCCCAGCTCTGGAGTCTGAGCAGTCTCGTACCAGTATAGATGAGAGTGGGAACAGACACAGAGAAGTTCTGAGTAAGTCGTGAGCCAGTAGCAGTGTGAATTGGGCTGTTGTGAGTCGAGCGGCATCCAAGGCTTGGAGGATGGACCAGCGGAGACCTGAGGGAATTTGTGGTCAAAGTGGAAGAAAAGAAAACAATACATACAACAGATTGCAAAGTTATGTTAAATAATTTTGAAGGAGCTTTAGTTCAAGGAGAGAACTTATTTTTAAATCCCTCGCATGCAAAAAAAATAAGATGAAATTCAAAAAGAACATCTAAATATTAATTTGTTAGGATATGGTTGTAGTTTGAAAGGTTCAGATTAATAAATTATGATTGTAAATAAGAAAAAATACTAAGATTTGGATTTCAAGTTGCCTTAATATATTAATTTCATCAAAATGGAACTTACTATGCAATATTTATGGGAAGAAACACCTATAAAAGTGAGAAGTCAAATATAAAGTTCTCATATTACCTTTGAAACTGAGATATAAACCGCAAATATATTTATATTTTTCTATGAAGAAAGCTTAACTAACAACTGTTTCTGTCTAGAATCTCACGACAAGAATATTTAAGAATGTGAAAACTGACACATAAAGAGAAATGAGTGAACTGAATGAATATAAATAGATATACACATTCTAGTATATAAATAGATACACACATTCTAGTATTTCAACGTATCAAATATATAGCTTATAACCAGGCTACACTGAAAACAAAACAAAACAAAGGGACACTGCTTTTACAAGCATACTAATAAAGCAATGTAAATAATGTTGTCTAGTTCTCATACTGAATATACTACATAAACTACATTCTGAATTGAAATTTTGTAAGATACTAACTTATATCCTCTAATAGAACACATCTTTGTGTATATAGAAATAAACTTAGATTAAATATATAAATGTAAATTCATATTAAAAAATTTAAATTTCAAGAGGAATTTGGCTAAAAAAGTTATACTGAATGTAATAAATAGGTATATTACATAAAAAAGAATCGTGAACTTCATGTTAACAATTATTTCACTGTACAATATCTTTGTTTTTGTACAACGGGGGGAAGAACCCTATATAAATAAACTATCATATCTCCCATTTTTTAGAAGTCAAATTAAAAACAGGCAAGAGTTCTACTTTTCCTGGCCTTTCCTTAATGAGTGTACTAACTGCTCAGGGAAAAATCCCACCAATCATAACCTGTCAAGGATCAAACATGAGCTGTCACTTATTGGCCACAAAGGTTTTTACCAGCTTCCACAGGCTACCTTTTGAAAATATTATTGATTTACAATGGGAAAAGTGTTTCTGCTTTTGTTGCTAACATAAATTTTAAAATGTGTTTTGTATAACTGATGAAAATCAAACACCTTATTGGCAATCAATTTTTATAGAAACAACTAAGTGAGATTTTGTTTGTTTGTTTTGTATTTTGTTGCTAAAGCATGAAAAAAATCTGAGAATTCTTACACTGAAAAAGTCTAGTCTAAGAATCAGAGCTGTACATAGGAAAAATTATGGCTAAAGTCTCTTAGAAAGCATTTTTAGAAAAGTGATACATTAGACTTAACACTTTTTACCACCAAGAGTTCAGCAAGAAAAAGGGTATTATATTTTGCATTATGTTAAACATTTAAAAGGAAAAAAACTCATGAAGTAGAACATACCATTAAAATGTTCAAATTATGACATCAAATTATAATTCAAATACACTGAAGCATACCATAATGTATTCTTGGAGTTCTGACTCTATCAGTCTTTGCATGAAAGGCTGCCTCACAATAACAACCTATGGTATTTCTAATATTAAGTCCATTCTATACATTGTAATATCTAATTCACTTAGGTAATTCATTTAATCCGTTAAATCCAATCTACACTACCTTTTATCAAACTCCTATCTAGACTCAGCAATGTTATATGATAATTAAATACTAGAATAATTATAATCAGCCAAGACATAAAATAAGTTTGGAAATAGCACTCAAACTATCAAGAATACAATGAAGCTGGCTCAAATAAAGTTGCCTGAATACAGAGGGTTTTTCTAAATAACATGAACTAGGTAGTAAGATGCTGTTCAGAAAATCCTAACAAAACAACTTAAATTCTTCATTGTGTAAATGTTTGATAATTTAAAGACAATGGCTATGACAAATTAGAAGAGGAGAATATCTATACAATCCCAGAAGGTTTACATCAATGGATCTCTTCCTGAAAGCATGTGAAACATATTCCCCTGCTATTCATATCTCATCCTAAGACACCAACAGATAATACAGCTTTTTCTTTCCACTAAATATCAGAGTGGAAAAAGACCTTCAGATATCACAACTGCAAAAGCCAAGTCCCTTCAATCAGTGTAGGTAAAACTAGAGAGTGTCAAGTGGAGAGAAGGAGGTCTTCACTTAAACTTGCTATGAAAAGAAGGGGGAAAATTCTAAATCCCTCAAAAAGTTAAACCTGCAATCTGATTCTACCTCTAGCAGCTGACAGTTCATGTTCTTCCAGACCTATTTTAGCAACTTCACTCTTGAGTTTATTTTTTTTAATTACTTCATTTGTCAATGTGTTTTCAAATAAAATTATGCAATTCCATGCTTCCTCTTATGAATAAAATTTAATCCAAATGACTAAAGGCCAGAAAAAAGGAAATAGCTAACCAAAAAGAATATGCTTAAGATAAAATGTCATTTTAAAAAGGGTCAGATTTTAGAACACTTTTTTTTAAGACTGTGATTGTTTTCCAATCAACCTCCCTTAAATATGGCTGAACTGGGAAATGGTTTAAGTTTTCTGACTACAGAATGCTGACTCCCAGACAATCAAGAACAGGAGTCAGTAAACTCCAGCCTGCAAGCCAAATCCACCTGCCATCTGTTTTGTAAATAAAGTTTTACTGGAACTCAGCCATACCAATTAGTTTGCATATTGTCTATGACTGCTATGGTGCTATAACAGTGGAGTCATATAGTTGCATTAGCAAAAACTAAAATTATTTACCTGTCCTATGGGGGCATTTATTTAAAAAGTTTACCAATCCTCAATCTAGACATATCTCTAAATCAGTGCTCCTCAATGAAAATACTATTGGCATTTAGGACGGAACAAGTTTTTGTAGTTACAAGTTGTTCCTTGCTGTGTCAGTATCTCTGGCCCACAAAAGAACCTACTAACCTAATCACTATGACAGGAAAGTCCTTTTTCAAATCACTTATTCAAAATGCTTGAGAACAAGAGTTCAGATTTCAGATTTTTTTTCAGATTTTGAATATTTACAGACTTTACTCAATGAGCATCCTATTCTGAAAATCCAAAATCCAAAATGTTCCAAAATCTGAAACATTTGAGTGCCAACACTAAAAAACATTCGAATTTTGGAGCACTTTGGATTTCCAATTTTTTAATTACCGATGTTCAACAAACATATAACATCACCAAACTGGAATCTCTGCCTTTGACACAAATAAGAACACATAGACCAAATCCAACCAAAGGAACCATCACACATAGTTTCTAGAAATAAAAATTTATGATTCTAACCTCTTAGATAGGGGATGGGCAAACTCATGGGTTTTTCTGTTTTGTTTCTGATAAATAAAGATAGAGACCCTATTGTCAATGCCTGAACTATTAAGCATCTCTCCTTTGAAAGAAAAGTTTGCCAAGCCAAGCACAGTGGAATGCACCTGTAATCCCAGCTCCTCCGGAGGCTAAGGCAAAAGGATAGCTTTGAGAACAGGAGTTCAAGGTCAGCCTCGGCAACATAGTGAGACCCCCTCATCACAAAAACAAAAGTCGGGGAAGGACAAGGAAATGTAGAGGAAGACAAGGGGTGGAGGGAAGGGAGGAAGCAAAGAAGCAGAAAGAAAAGAAAGAGGGAGGATTTGCCATCTTCAGCCTTACACAGACCCCAGTATTCCTATTCAATTATTTTATTTTAATAAACTGCCTGGCCTCTGTAGACATCTGAGTTTGAGACTTCTGCACAAGCCAATCCTTGTTCCTCTCTATACTATGTTGCCAATAACAAACATAATTGGATTATAATTCAATTATAATTATAATTGAATTAATTATAATTATAATTGAATTAATTATAATTCCCTAAAAAATAAATAAAATTCCACACATTGCATGAATATTCACTTTATGTTTTAGATACATAATGTCTAAAGATGTAGAATAGGGGCTGGGGATGTGGCTCAAGCGGTAGCGCGCTCGCCTGGCATGCGTGCGGCCCAGGTTCGATCCTCAGCACCACATACAAACAAAGATGTTGTGTCCGCAGAAAACTAAAAAATAAATATTAAAAAATTCTCTCTCTCTCTCTCTCTAAAAAAAATAAAATAAAATAAATATGTAGAAAGTTTAAGTTTATACTACTTCACGTTTTATATTATAAATAAAATACTAGGATTATGTAAATATTTTTAAGTTAAAGTTTGACAGTCATCTCTGATAAGAAAAATCACAGAAGAAAATGAAATACACATCAAACAATGCTACTAAAATGTTGTAAAGCAAATGAAAATGTATAGGTAAGAGATAAAAATCTCCATAAGAACAATTTCATTAATTCATACTTACTCCTTCATTTCTTTAGATGGAGAATTGCATGCAGGAAGGAATGCTGCTGGGCTACTTAATTTATCCAGAGTACACGCTGTTCCTATGGCTCGTACCACTAACCCAGACTCGCCCTCCAGATCAAAACACTGTAAGTAGCCAACAACTGCATTTCCTCTCATTTCGAGTACTTTTAAGCCAATCTTCCTTTGTAGTTCACCTACCACAAAAGAAAGAAAAAAACTCATGCTTTGTTTCATTTCCCAACAATACATACTATAAAGCTAGATAAGGTAGTGACAAAAAAACAAGTTTAAAAACATCATAGAATTTTAGAACTTGATGGGAACTTAAAAGATTATCTGGTCTAACTTCCTACTTTCAGGGAAATGAGACTCATTCATGCACCTCATTTACCAAACCTTTTTTTGGTTCTGTGCTATGTGCTTGGCATTCTTCCCTTCCTCAAAGTGCTAGAGATGCTTGGGTGAACAGTAAAGGTAAAGTTCCAAATCTAGTGAAGTTTAACATTGGTGGGATAAAAAGATAATTAAATAAGTAAACAAAAATAGATATTATAGAGAATATATAAGTATAAACATAATACATAGAACATAATTTTATTATAATACAGTATGATTATGTCACAGCACAAATATACAGAATACAAATATAATACATTTATTAAATATAACATATATTCTTGTTTGTGTCTTTTGTGAATATATATTGTATACACACACACGCACACACAAAAATAAATACAAATTTCAAGTAGTAAATGAGTTCTCCAAAGAAGAATAAAGAAAGGTAATGAGATAAGAGTGGCAAAGGAAGTGCCAGGAGCAATAGAGGAAACTAAACAACAAATTCTCAGGAAAAGACTACGAAAAGTCTTGAACAGAGAGTATCATTTGAACAGAGAGTATCAGAGACAGGGATAAAAGATTTACTTAAGTTCTGACTATAAACCAATGCTAGAGGAAAGAAAACTAAAATCCAGTTTCCTGCTCAGGACTCCTTTCTGAACCTCCTAACTCAGGGCTCTTTCCACCCACTACCCCACTTCAATAACACAATTTCCTTTCATTACCTAGTTTACTACAAGCTTCTGATTCAGATTTCCACTTGTTAAAAATGTTCAGCGGGATGGGGCCAAGAGTAGGGAATCAGTCACCTAAAATCTTAGCCTTCATTACAAAAGGAAAGCAAAAACTCAGTATTAATCAAAATGAAATTATTTTATTTATACCTGACATTAATGAAATGAGTCTCTGTCTAGCCTCATTTGATGCCCTTGGTGTACGAATTCGATCGATCCATTGATATTCTGGGTCTTCGTTGACTACAAGTTCTTCTACAAATCCATGAATTATCACAGCTCTATAGCACTTTGGAATAGACGTTGCTGTTAAAACAAACTATCTATTAGAGCTTCTGTTTATCACAAGGTAAAAATGAATTTTAAAAAATGCATGTCAAAGTTCTTACCTTTTGGATATACAAAAACATCTTTTATATTATGATGATCTCAATGTAATTATGTAATTACTAGTGTAATTATAATATTCCCAATTAAAAAGTCTTCTAAGACACATTTTAATCTTACAAATAACTTTTCTCTCATGACACACCTCACTTTTTCATGTAAGCCTGATAAATATGAATTGTACTTTTACAATTAAGAAAATACCTACAGAGCGAGACCTGGTAGTGCATGCCTGTTGTCCCAGCTACTTGTGGAGCTGAGGTAAGAAGATTGCCAAGTTCAAGGCAACTTTGGGCAACTTAGTGAGACCCCATCTCAAACTTAAAAAAAAAAAAAGGAGGACTGAGGATGTAGCTCAGTGGTAGAGTGCCTAACTATGAAGCTCTGGGTTTGATTCCCCAGTACTACTGAAAAATAAAAGAAGAAGAAAAACAAAAGAAAACAGCTAGAGACCTTAAGTAACACTCCATATCATATAAAGTTTTAAAAATCAAAATATCATGGTATTCCAAAAACCTGTACAATTTATACATTTTATATATCAGTTAAAAAAGTTTTAAAATCAAAATTAAATAAATGGATGGAGTCAGAGAAGATAATGCTAAGTGAAGTTAGCCAATCCCAAAAAACCAAATGCCGAATGTTTTCTCTGATATAAAGAGGCTGATTCATAGTGGAGTAAGGAGGGGGAGCATGGGAGGAATAGACAAACTCTAAATAGGGTAAAGGGGTGGGAGGGGAAGGGAAGGGGCATGGGCATAGAAATGATGGTGGAATGAGATGAACATCATTATCCAAAGTACATGTTAAAACAAACTATCTATTAGAGCTTCTGTTTATCACAAGGTAAAAGACATGAAGGATGTGAAGGTACTTTGTATACAACCAGAGATATGAAAATTGTGCTCTATGTGTAATATGAAATGTAATGAATTCCGCTGTTGTATATAACAAATTTAGAATTTTAAAATTTTTAAAAAATTAAAATTATTTAAAAAATAAAAATAAAAAACATACACAGGAAGGGAATCACAAAATGTGATGAATCTAATATTGAATTAAAAGTACAGTGACATGGCAAAAAAAAAAATCAAAATTAAAGTTAACTAGTTTATTATTAAGACAAATTATTCAGGGTCCCTGGCAGAAGTTCTTCTGTATACCACATACTGCAGTTTTAAGAATTAGACCACTACATTTCTGATATAACCAAAGGAGTCAAATAGCCCTGTAGTTTCTAATAATCCATGGTCATATAGTCAACTGGTCCAACAGTCATTGCTCTATATAATAGACTTGTTTAATATGTGCTCACTTAAGACTCATTTAAGTAAAATGTCAGGGCTGGGATTGCGGCTCAGCGGTAGAGCGCTCGCTTGGCACGGGCGGGACCCAGGTTCCATTCTCAGCACCACATAAAAAATAAATAAATAAAGGCACTGTGTTGAAAAAAAAAAGATATATATATATATATATATATATATATATATATATATATATATATATTTAAATAAAATGTCATTGAATTTATGTAAGATCTTAAGGGGTAGAATCTTAGAACATCTACACCAAACTAGTATATTAAAACAGCATTTATGTATCAAAGATAATCAACTACCTAGTGGTTCTCAACCCTACTAATAAGGATTGGCTAGAAGATGCCCAAATTTGCACAGGCCAGACTCATATATTTCAGGGAGTTCTTGGGGCTTCATACTCGCAAAAGCCTATGTGATATGGGTTTGTACCACAGTGCTTGGCTAAAATGTTCTGCTCCTATCCTTCAGTGACCTATACTACAATAAAACATTACTGGATTTTTCAAAAATAAATTTCAATAAACTTGTAAAAATTAGATAACATTTACTCTTAAATCAAATAAATAGCCAGAGAGCTACAGTAATTGTTTCTGGAAAATTAACAATTTTTTCTTTAGTATTAAAATCAAAGTATACCATTTTTATTAGCCTTCTAAAATATTAATTGAATTTTTCTACATTTAAAAATCATTAAATTTCCTGTTAAATAAGACAATATATTTACTTACTGCAAAAGAATTTGACTCCACACGATGACTGTCTAAATCGATTTAAATCATTGAAGAGGTCTACTTTGACAACTACATTGATTTCTCCACGGATACCTACATATTCAAAAGGAAAATCAATATACCTTAAGAAAATAGTGTACAATAAATAATGAAGCAAATAGATGCAATTAATGGTTTCAAAATAATGTATAAATTATAATAATAATGTTAACTTTGTATCTTAATTACTTTCATTATCAGTGGTTTTCTTGTATTTTCTGAAGCAGAACACCTATGCACAAGAATGAATAATTTTCACTATTACCAAAAGTCTGCATTTATTTGAACTAAGACTGAATGGAGCAGAATCCCATTTAAATTGATGACAATGACCACGATGATGATAACGATGGTGGTGATAACATTTGCTGAGTACTGACAGATGGCATATTAAATGTTTTTCATATAGTATCTCACTGTATTCACATCAACCCAAAAAGGTAATTTCTGTCATAGTACCATACCCATTTTACAGAGAAAGAAACATGTAATTAATAAAAATTAAATAATGTATTCAGTGTCATTAGCTAGTTAGTGAAAGATTCCAGGATTTAAGTAAGATCTTTATGATTTCAGAGTATATACTCTTAACACTTAATGCAAGATTATAATTCAACAGAAGTTGTATTCACTTCAATGAATAAAATTTCAAATAAGCTAACTAAAAAATTTTGAAAATATGATATTGATCAAATTATTCTATGTGCATGTACAATATGGCATAATGAATCCCACTATTGTAAATAATTAAAATACACCAATTTTAAAATTCAAAAAATAAGGGTTTTCAAAACATAGTCTAATAAAAAATAATGATCCAGCTCTTAGCTCTAAATATTTACTAAATATTTTCACTTGACTGTTTGACTTCAAATTCACTTATGGCAGAGGGCCTTCTAAGAAAAGTCATTTATTAATTTATCTATTGAAATCATAAGATTGTATTTCTAACAAAGAGCCCATAAACATATTTAACTCCCTAGAAACAATATTTAATAGTAAATGGTGGGGAAATTTATTCATTTATATAGCTATTTACTACCTTTAATCCAAGTCCAGATTAGTATTTCAGCCTCTTTTTTTTTTAATTTATTCATTTAATTTTGACCACAGGGTCTTCCTGTTTTGCCTAGGCTGGTCTCATACTCCTAGGTTCAAGGAGTATGAACTTCTGCCTCAAACTCCTGAGAAGCTGAAACTAAAGGCTCATAAGGCCATAACTGGCAGTATATCAGTATATTTTCTTAATTGGTAACATAAAAGATGACTAGATTTCTGTTTATAAAGGAAATATGTGTGTGTGTCTGTGTGTGTATGTGTATTATATATGTATGTTATAGAAAAATAGGGGAAAAGTTAAAAAAAAACGCGGAGGGGAGGCAAACAAGAAAAATAATCCAGAAAAGTAATTATCTAGGATAAACATTTGATAATGTATTCTGCAAATTTCTCCAATGATATCACATAAATATAATTCTTTGGGTTCTAAACAACTTTGAGATCATCACATAATGAATGCTTTATAACATGCATTCTGTAATCCATAATATATCATGCACATTTGTTGCACTGTATTCTGAAAACGTGTTCTTTTTTTTCTGACTGTATAACTCAGGTTCTATATTTGCCCTTACTTATTTACTCATTCATTCATTTATTTTGCAACGCTGGGGATCACTTAATACTAAAAAAATTTAGTATTAAGAGAAGTATTGTTACATTTTTCAAATACCTATAATTTACTTAATGATAACACAGATTCTCATTTCTGCTCTGCATTCAGTTGGTGGTAACATCAAATGTCAGAAAAACTTCCAGAAAATTCCACTGTATTCTTGGAATAAAGTGAGAATAAATGTAGTAAATATGTATGAATATTATGCTAAAAATAGTTCTCAACTCACAGACCCTATGAAAGCATTTTTGGAGACCCTTAATTATTCTTACAGTATACTTTGAAAACCCTGCTTTAACAACAAAAAAACTTTTAAGATTTTATAAGCAAATATTATCAGTTTGAAAATGTGTTTTAGAAACAGAGTACCAGCAAAATTAATTTTCTTTTTTGAGGTGTTAGGAATCAAACCCAGGCCCTCATGCATACTAGACACTCTACCACTGAGTTACATCCCAGTACCTCAAGATAATTTTTAAATAATGCATTTACTTACTATGTTGCACAAATTTTGCAGGCATAATTTTAATTTCCGATCAGAGGAGTAAAAATTCTATGAACAATATTTTACTATTACTTTTCTACCTGTCTATTTTTAAAAAGGCATGTAAGATATACATTTTAAAACCATGTAGCAGTAAAGTCTTTAAGAATAAATATAAAACATTAATTTTATGATATTTCTTAAATTATTACTCCTTACCATGTATAGTGTCATAAATTGGAAACCATCCTGAGATGACTGTTGCAGCCTCACTGTACAGTAAAGGATCAATATCAATGTACACTTTACCAATGGCATCATTTGCACTGTAAGTATCATGGTCAAGAACTGTGATCTGTAAAGGTTCATCTTGTAAATCTTCATCATCCACCTAAAAGTATACCTTGAAATTAAATCTAATTTTAAAATCTTAACTATCACAAATGAATACATATACCAAATGAAAACAATGACTTTTTAAAATTTTTTTTAGCACTGAGGAATGAACTCGGGGGCTCTCTAACCCTGGGCGAGTCATTTTTCAAAATGTTCTGAGACAAGACTGGCTTTGAACTTGATATCCTCCTGCCTCAACCTCTTGAGTTGCTGAGATTACAAACGTGCGCCACTCTGCCTGGCTAAAAATGACTTATTTCTGTAAAAGAATAGATATCTAAGCACAAAGATAAAAAGAGATTAGTACACACATAAAAACAGTATGATGTCAAGGATTAGGAATTAGAGATTAGGGTTATAGCTCAGTGGTAGAGCACTTGCATACCATGCTAGGCCCTGGGTTCAATCTCTAGTACCAAAACAAAACAAACAAACAAAGGGTTTGCTCAGCTCAAAGTGCACGTTAATTCACTGGTCCCTCTAGTACTCCCCATTTCTCTACCTTCTTCTGCCAGCCTAGAACACTAGGAAGATGCCTGGAACTCCAGCTGCTAACTTGGAACCTGAAGTGACTCTGAGTCACTTTGAAGACAAGCCAAAGTACGCATACACAATGGCATTCTATTCACCCAAAGGAAGAATGAAATCATGTCATTTGCAGAAAAATGGATGGAACTTGAGAGAGCATTATGTGAAGTGAAATAAGCCAAACTCAGAAAGTCAATGGTCATATGTTTTCTCTCATATGTGGAAGCTAAAGAGGAAAAAGGTGGGGAAAAGCACAGCAAACTCTCATAAAAAGATAAGGGAGACCAGTAGAGGAAAGGGGGACAAGAGGGAGGGAAAGTAGAGGTACTAGGGAGTGAAACTGCCCAAATTATACTGTTATATTGTGTGCATAGACAAATATGTAACAACAAATCCCACTTTTATGTTCAATTATAATGTACCAATAAAAAATACAAAAAAATAATTAAAGTCACATGATTCTCATGAATGGATGATGAAGAAAAGACAGAAAGGGTCTTGAATCTAAAATGTCTACATGAAGCTATATACTGACCGTCTCAACATTTCTTTTATATGAGAGAAAACATCTACTTTAAGATATTTGAGTGTTCAAAACATACACAAATAAACAACAGTTAAAAAAAAGAACTTTATAACATCAACTATAAACACAAAGTTTATGCATATTCTTGATATCATATATGCTATTAACTAGAAGCATTAGTCAAAATAGTAATTTAAATTGTAAAGAAAATGGCTGGTGACTATAGTTTCTGAAACCATTAATATTTTAAAAATCTCTTACTTCAGAAAAACTACAAATAAACACAAACACACTTTTTTTTTTAAGACAGGGTCTTGCTATGTTACCCAGGATAGTAGCTTCATTCACACAATCCTCCCATCTCAGCTCATTAGTAGCTGAGATTATAGGGAATACCATAGAACCTATATTGTTTAAAATAAGCTACTGAAGTATTCCTTAACCTTAAAAATTAACAGTATTGAATCATCAACAAAATAAAATGGTATTTTCTAAAATGATAATTTCTTAGCATCATAAAAACTAACACATGAAGCCTTCCTCCTCCTAGCTTTCCAATAACAATGTAATTAATTAATATTTTTTAACCGTTTCTAGGTTATAAGAAAGGAGGAAGTCTCAAAATAAACCTATGTAAGTATTCAAATGTTTTTCTAGGACAAGAAAGATGCACTTCATAATTTTATAAATCTGAAATCATGTAAGCAAGTTTCTCTGCTCACTTTCTTTGACTTACATAGTCCACATTTTATCTTAATAATGTAGTTGAAAATGGTACAGATTGAATGTGTGCAATAATGCATTTTTCAAAATATAAAATGGCATTTTGAAAACAGCTAAAAAGAAAATCTGTACATATCCACAAGAAAAAATGCAGAGATAAAACAGTTCATGACAAAAAAAAAAAAATCAACTAAACATGAAAAGAAAAGTTGGAGGCTCACTTCCTGATTTAAAAACTTAATTACAAAGCTCCAGTAATCAAAACAATATGGTAATGACATAGGGACAGACATATAGATCAATGGAATAGCTCCCATACTTCTATGTACAACTAATTTGTTTTAACTTATCTCAAAGGTAAAGTTGAAAATAGTTTACAATAATTTACTGACTTCCAAACCAATGTTATCCAAACAATATGGAACTCTATTTTTAAAAGAGTTGGAGTTAATGGGAACTAGAAATTTTCTTCCTTAGAAAGATCCATCTGGCTGGAAACCTTTGGATAAAAGCCATTGGGAGATTAGGAATAATAGTTTCTACAACTGCATCCTTTTGGTATACAGTTGGGATAGCCAAGTTACCCCTCACCAACTCACAGCCACTCTACCAATAAGTGTGGTCTGTACCTCACACGCGCCCTTTAAATTGATTTCTGAGAAGGACGGGAAAAGAACAGTTTCTTCAACAAATGATGTTGAAACAACTGGACTTCTTTGTATAAAAGAATAAAGTTGGCCTCTTACCTCAAGCTATTATAAAAACGAACTCAAAATGGATTAACAACCTATGTATAAGAGTTGAAACCATAAAACTCTCAGGAAAAAATATAGGGAATGGATCAGGGAAGCACAAGCAACAACAACAAAAAATACCTCAAATTTCAACAAAATAAAAAACTTTTATACAAATGGTAGTGTCAATAAAGTAAAAAGACAACCTATTAAAATGGGAGAAAAAATTCACAAGTTATTTACCTGATAAGGAGTTGATATTTAGTATAGTGAACTTCTACATATCAACAACAAAAATATAAATAACTCCATTAAAAAAATAAACTGGGGGAGGGGGCAGTGGTATCATGGCATACACCTGTAATTCCAGTGACCTGAGAGGCTAAGGCAAGAGGATCCCAAGTTCAAGGCCAGCCTATACAACTTAATGAGATTCTGTCTCAAAATAGAAATTTTTTAAAGGGCTGGGGATGTAGCTCAGGGTGTACAGTAGCACTTGGTTTACAGAAGGTCTTGGGTTCAATCCCCAGCACTGCAAAAAAATTAATAAACAAAATTCACAAATACAGTGAAATATTAGCTTAAAAAAATAATATTCTGCTACCTGCCACAATGTGAATGATCCTTGAAAACATAAGGAAATGAAAGAACCAAATAAAAAGGGACAAATATTATGATTCCACTTAAATGAAGAGTCTAACATAAGCTAATTCAAAAAGATAGAATATAGATAAGTTACTAAAGTCTGAGGAAAAGGAACTAGCGAGTTACTGTTTAGTAGGCACAGAATTCCTATTCAGGGTATAAAAGTATTTTGGAAATAGTGATGGTGGTTGTACAATACTGGGCACGTAATTAATGCTACTGAATTGTATACTTTAAAATGGCTAAAATGGCACAAAAAAATACTGTGTATGTTGTTCTTAAGTATTTCTTTATATATGCTAAAATCCAAAAATAATAATAATAATAATAAAATAATACACTTTAAGGCTTTTTTTTTTCCATCTGCATTACCATATACTATATTTTTTTTAAGGTAAAAACTCAGTGTTCTTTTAAAAACTTTTTTAAAAACTCAGTGTTCCTAGTGAGGCAGAAATAGAAATATTCTTATACTGTAGAAAATCTACTATGCCTGAAATGAAAGATACTTTTATCATTCCTAAAGGAAAAGAGTCACTTAAGAAAATATATACTCAAAAAACATGGGCATTTAAGAACTTACCTCAAACTTAAACCATTCTGAGTTCCACTGTGGATTGAGTGACTTGAGGTATACATCTGTTTTAAAGGTGGTATTACCAAATTTTACCTAAATACAAATAAGAAACCATTCAGAAATGTGAATAGACATCAGAAATGTGGAAAAAAGTAAATGTTAATGTCAGCCAAGCAAGGGGAGAAAAATTAAGCATAGAGGGAAAAAAAGCCAACTATCCCCTAAGCCAAGAGGAAAAAGGTATGCTCTGACAAGGTGCTTGCAGATTCACCTAATTTCCATTGCTCTGCTTGACCAGCTAGCTGCACAGGAAAAAACAAAACATAGATCATAGATCATTTTATTGGCATGGAGGAAGGGATTAGTGCGGTCACTAAATATGCTGAGATGAAAGAGGACAGTCCTGGGCTGGAGAATTAGCTCAGTTGTGATTGTGCATGCATGCACAAGACCCTGTGTTCAATTCCCAGCACCACAAAAAAAAAAAAGAGGAAAGTCCTAGACTGACTGCTCAGTAGTAAAGCAGTTTCCTTGCATAAATAAGGTCCTCACCCCCAAACAGGAGAAAAATCTTAAGGAGAGATGACATGCTAAAATAAAAATCAAGAGGTAAAGACCAGCTCACTATCCTCTTTTCTCAGCAAGAGAATCCAGAAGCACAGCCCGTTATTAGAAAAATTTAGTAATATTTCTTTCTATTTTCTAACTTACCCATATTTGTTATTTTCTTAACCCCTTATCTGTACTCACACAATATGATAGGCAATAAACTATTATGTTTTATGTTCCTATCTTCAGGGAAAATGAAAGGGGTTGAGTAAGGAGACTTATCTTATTTCATAGACAATCTTGGCAAGCACTGAATCCCAAAGACCCAAAAATAAGTAAATAAGGAAATAAAGAAGGAATAAAAGTAAGTTAAAATCCCTGGGATTTGTTTCCATCAAAGAATGGTGATTGGGCTGGGGATGTGGCTCAAGCGGTAGCGCGCTCGCCTGGCATGCGTGCGGTCCGGGTTCGATCCTCAGCACCACATACAAAGATGTTGTGTCTGCCGAAAACTAAAAATAAATATTAAAATTCTCTCTCTCTCTCTTAAAAAAAAAAAAAAAAGAATGGTGATTGTGAAACCTCAGACCAGATTTGGAAGTGGTCAAGAAGCTGAAGAGCAAAACAGACAATTACTTCTTCACTTGCCTCCCTTTTCTACATTTGATCTCTTCAAACTCTTTCCCTGATTCCTTCAGTTATCATCATCAATTATTTTTCCTAATCTCAAAATACACTAAGGATTATTCACTTTGGTCACAGCAGTTTGGCACAGTGTATATGCTTCGTAAATGCTGGTTCAATCAGGTAAAAATTATAATTGCTGATATTAATTGGTCCAAAAAATTTCCAAAAGCAAAATATCTAAAACTCCAATTATTTTTCTTCTCTGAATATTTCTATTATTTTATCATTTAGTTTGATTTATCATGATATAAACCATTTGGCACATAAGCAGTTTGATTAGGGGTATAAAAGAATTAAAAAGAGCAAATAAAAATAGCAGTTTCTTGCATGGTAAAGAATATCATGAAGCCAGGGCCAGGGATATAGTTCATTTGGTAGAGTACTTGCCTCGCATGCCCAAGGCCCTAGATTCAATCCCCAGCACCACAAAAAAAAAAAAAAAGAATCATGAAGCCAAAGACAAATAAGAGCAGGTTGTGGTGGCTCAACCTATATTCCCAGCATGTTGAGGCTAGGGCAGGAGGATCACAAATTTGAGACCAGTCTGGGCAACCTAGCCAGGCCCTGTCTCCAAAATAAAAAATAAAAAGAATTGAGGGCTAGGGATGTAGCTCAGTGGTAAAGTGCCCCTGGGTTCAGTTCCCAGGAACCACCCCCAACTCCCACCTCCTGCCACAAATAAGATAACCAACCTCATTGTAGAGATATGGAAATTAAAACATTTTTACTTAGGCTGGCAAAGATCAAATGGTTTGAAAACAATGTTGATGAGGCACTCTCATAATTTTCTGATGCAAGTATAATTTAGAAGTCTGTACAGAGAACAGTTTAACATATACCAAAATTTTAAATGTCCATGTCTTTTAAGCTCCCAATTCTATTTCTTGAGAGCTTAAGAGGTGCATAATACATATCAGCATTATAGTAGCAAAATATTGGAAACAATCTAAATATTCATTAATTTGGAAATGACTGAGTTAACCACAGCCTGGCCACAAAATGAAGTACTAAATAGAAGAATAAAACAGCTCCCTATATACTGATAAGAAACAGAGGTCAAAATAAAATAGAGCTGGGGATGTAGCTAGCTCAATGGTAGGCTGCTTCTCTAGCATGCCAAAAGCCCTCAGTTCAATAAACAAACAAACAAAAACTTTATACTGCAGAATGGTGCATATAGCATTCTTTGGGGAGAGAAAAATGAAAAACATTAAAGTATATAGATTATTTCTAGAAGGACTTACAAGAAAATTTAATGATGACATAAGAAAGAGATTAATGGGTTGGTTAAAGTAAAGGCAGTAAAAATGAAAGTTGACCCATTTTGTATCTTTTGAATTATGAACCATAAATATGTATTACCTATTTTTAATGTATCATTTTAAAATCCAAAATATTAGAAATTAAAAACTCAAATGGCAATAACATTATTCTAATCAAATTATATAATTCCAGATCCAATTCCAGGAATTTAACTTAGAGAAGTACTTCCACAGAAATTGCCCTCCCCCAAAATATAAAAACTTAAATAGTCATTCAAAAAGAAAGTAATTAAATAAATCATATGCATCCCAATTAAAAAATGGAGTTGATTATATATACTGTCATAGTAAGATTATAAATGACAGAAAAAGGGATAAAACAAGCAGAAAAATATGTAAAGTTTAATTACATCTCTTTCTAAAAAGGTGATATGCATATAAAAGTAATTTTTTTTAAAGAAGAGGAAGGGCCGGGTGCAGTGGTGCAAGCCTGTAATCCTAGCGGCTTAGGAGGCTAAATCAGGAAGATCTTGAGTTCAAGTCAGCCTCGGACCTTAGTAAGTCCCTAAGCAGATCAGCGTGACCCTATCTCAAAATAAAAAAAAAAAAAAAAAAAAGGATTGGAGATGTGGCTCAGGGGCTGAGTGCCCCTGGGTTCAATTCCTGGCACTAAATAAATAATAAATAAATAAGAAGAGGGAGGGTATACAAACACAAGCCAAAGAAAAAACAGCAATTCTCCCTGAAGAATAAGAATTTCCAAATTATATTTCTGAGTGTTCAAATGCTTTTTAATGGGAGGTATTCATGTACTACATATTTTTTTTCTTTTCAAATCACAATGTTAAAGAAATGAAACTCAACAGGGGAAAAGAAACTTAGGGAGAGGTTTTTGCTTACTCACTAATCTAATTTTCATTATACTTCAATACTCAAGGCATGAAGGAAATACAGCCAGTCTCCAAACTTAGAATATTCCATCGTTTCTAATCTCAATTTAGAATTTTTCAACTTCACAATGGTGCAAAAGCATACCCATACAGCCGCTCTGCTTTTCACTTTCAGTACAGCATTCAATATATTACATGAGATATCCAACATTTTACCATAAAATAGGCTTTTTGTTAGATGATTTTGCCCAACTATAGGCTAATATAAGTGTTCTGAACATGTAATTGAAAGAAGGGTTCAGAAGGCTAGAAGGCTAGACTGAGATACAATGGTTGGTCATTGGGTTTTTTTTGTTGTTTTGTTTTGTGGTGCTGAGGATTAAACCAGGGTCTGGCATGTGTGACCCACTACTGAGCTGCATCCCCAACCCTGATATTTAGTAGTTTAAGTGTATTAAATGCACACTTTTAATTTACAATACTGTCAATTTACCATGGGTTTTTTTGAAATAAGATCCCATCATAAATTAAGGAACATCTTACATATTTTATTGGGATAAATTATTGTTTAATTTACCTAAAACTTTTGAAGTAAAATGTTGTTAGGATTATAAAAACATTAAAATGCTAAATAAATACACTTAAGGGTTTGATTCACCAAAAAAGCAAATCATGTTTTAAGTTCAGCACCCTCTTTTGTTCCTCACCACAGCTCTGCTATATTGAACTTTTTTTACAACAGTGCATTCTAGATAAAGATCTGATAGTTCCCAAACTACATCAAACAAACAAAAAACAAGATTTCAGAAAAAGAAAAAGTCTAGAGTATGCATTCTGCCAAAATGTAATGATTTTTTTCTACTAGTAAAGGAGAATCACAGTTCATTTAGCCTTATTCAATTCAAAGGATATTTTATTACTCAGTAATTAAATGTCTTCCAACTTTGTTAAAGAACATCAGGAATTTTAATGCAGATTCCACCAGTAAAGTAAGGCATTCTCTTTTCCCACTGATTAGCTAAATTACCTTGAGAAAGTTATTTAACCTGCTATTTAAATCTACTTTCTCCTCTGAAAAGCAGGGTTGCTGGGAGCATTATATGAGATAATGCATGTAGAAACCTAGCAAAATGTTTGATACAGAGAAAATATTCATTAAATATTAATTTCTTTCCCTCTGAGTATTCCTTCAAAAGCTCCTAGATAAACACAAAATAACAACATAGTTTAGCCAAACAGTTTGTAACATGCACATTAATAGAGATATATTTCATTAATTATTCCCTTGTTCAGAACCCCATTTTACTCTTCCTAAAGATTCCTGCAAGAATCATCTTTAAGTACTACTGGTCTTCACTGGCTCCCCAAATTCCTCACATTCATAAAGAGTAAAAATTCTCAGTACCAGAACTTAACCAGTTACTCAAGCAACTTGATTAAACCAGAGAATCGTTAAAAAACAATACAAGCTAGGCACAGTGGCACACATCTGTAATCCAGTGGCTTGGGAGGCTGAGGTAGGAGGATAGCAAGTTCAAAGCCAGTCTCAGCAACCCAGCAAGACCCTGTATCAAAATGAAAAATTAAAAAAGGGCAGGGAGTCTGGGGCTACAGCACTTGCCTTGCATGTGTGATCCTTAGCACCACATAAAAATAAAACAAAGTAAAGGCACTCGATTCATCTATAACTACAAAAAATTTTTTA